TTATTTTTTTTTAAAGATTTCATTTATTTATTTGAGAGAGAGAATGAGATAGAGCATGAGAGGGGGGAGGGTCCGAGGGAGAAGCAGACTCACCGCTGAGCAAGGGAGCCCGATGCGGGACTCGATCCCGGGACTCCAGGATCATGACCTGAGCCGAAGGCAGTCGCTCAACCAACTGAGCCACCCAGGCACCTGGTAGCATTTTTCTTTTTAACGGTTGAATAATATCCCACTCTATGGCTGTACCACCGTTTTCCTTATCCACTCACCATCCGATGGACATTTGGGTACCATTTTGTTCTTTTTTAATATTCGTAATCCAAGTGCTGTATGATTCAAGTGTGGTACGTAGACATTCTCAAAAGAGGCAAACAGCAGAGACACAAAATACCAAAGCTCCCGGGTGCTTCTCCTTCCATCTGGCTCTTCTCCCCAGAAGTGGCGGGTGACACCTTGCTCCTTACCGCCCTGGTCACAGACACGTGTAAACGCCACATGTCTTCACGCACACTTCCTGTTACACCACGGGCTCCTCCCTGGCCCCGCGCCCATCTCTGCATCTTCTGGGTAAAGGGGACCCCCGAGCCTTATGTACTGAACGGGTCCCCGGGGAGTGTGAGAAAGTCCTGATCTCTGAACACCGCCCTTCAGGTGTGGACGGCACGGTGAGCGGCTGGGAAGAGGCGAAAATCAACAGCTCCAACCCACTGCGCTATGACCGCCAGAGCGGGGAGTTTCTCGTCATGCGGGCTGGGCTCTATTACCTGTACTGTCAGGTAAGGCCCACCTGGCTGCACGGTACAGCGGGGACTGCGGGTCTTGGGGGGGGGCCGGGGGCGAGCCAGAGCGGGGAGGGGAGCTTAGGGCTGGGGCCCGATGGGCCCCCTGGGTGGCCAAGGCTGCTAGAAATTGAGGCGCGGCCAGCAGAGGCCTGGACTCTGCCGCCTCCCGCCCGCCCGGCAGGTGCACTTTGACGAGGGCAAGGCTGTCTACCTGAAGCTGGACTTGCTGGTGAATGACGCGCTGGCCCTGCGCTGCCTGGAGGAGTTCTCGGCCACGGCCGCCAGCGCCGTGGGGCCCCAGCTCCGCCTCTGCCAGGTGTCTGGGCTGTTGCCCCTCCGGCCGGGGTCCTCCCTGCGGATCCGCACCCTCCCCTGGGCCCATCTCAAGGCCGCCCCCTTCCTTACCTACTTTGGACTCTTCCAGGTTCACTGAGGGGCCCTAGTGGCGCCCCCACCGCGGCTGTGTTGGTGCGCCCCTCCCTCCGTGCGCCCCCCTCCTCCCCCGTTCCCCCCCCACCTGCCCGCCCTCTGCAGGCTGCTTGGACTTGTTCACGTTTGTTTCCACGACACGTAGATAACCCCCTTCTCCCCTGACGCCCCCCTCCACCTCACTAGCTCCTGAACCCCTAGTCTTTCGTCGCCCCCATTAATCTCCTGACTCCCTGCCCTGGCCACAACCCCCCAGGACACTGTGTCTACTCTACTCTGGGTGAGGATGGGTCCCCAACCCCCCGCCCCTTTCAGGCACTAATAGGGGCTGGACGCCAGGGAGCCTGGGACTAGGCCGGGAGTTCCCAAATGCGAGGGCTAAGAGCAAGCCAAGCTCCTTCCCTGATAATTCCCTGTGGATTTTTAAAAAAGCAGATATTATTTTTATTATTATTGTGACAAAATGTTGATAAGTGGATATTAAAGAGAATAAACCACGGTCTCTCTCTTCCTTGGGGCTCAGGGAACATATCTTAGGGTAGTGGAGGGCTACGGGAAGGGGGTCTGGGCATCCAGGAGTGGGGTGCGGAAGGGCTGGGATGCCAGGGCAATGTAGACTCGGGAGTGGGGACCTGCCTGCCTCTGACCCCTGAGGCATGAGCAGAGAGTGGAAAGGCAAACTGCCAGGAAAAAAAAAAAAATCAATCCTCTGCCCAAGGTCCAGCAAAAGCTGCCTCATTTACCTAGGAGGCGGGCTTCCTCCTGCGGGTAATCCCTGGCTGGGAGGAGCAGGGGCCCTTCCTCTTGGCAGCCTCGGGGACGTTCGGCAGGGGCTGCCACCAGCCCTGGCTGGGATGTGGGGTGGGAGCAGGCCCGAAGGGGAGCTCAGGGTCAGGAAGCAGGACGCCGGGGCCCAGGAACATGGGAACCTGGGGCCCTGGGTCCAGCGGAGGAATCCTACAGTGGTAGGGTGCTTGGGGCTGTCTCTTTCTCTCTCTGCCCAGGGCCTTATGTAAGAGCTTTTCTCGGGAAACAGGAAGTTCTCCTTGCCAAGTTCAGCACAGGGAGTAGTGCAGGCCTATTCCAACACACCCGGCCTGGCCTTAACCCCAGAACTCAGCCAGTTTCTTGCTTCCGCGACCCTGGTTCTCCTTCCCATCTACCCGCCCTCCCCCCGCCGCCCCTCCTTTTCCACCTTCAGTCCTACCCAAAGATCTCTCGTGTGGCTGAGCCAGAGGGTCTTTACCCCCTCACCCCTGGACCCCCCAAGGCTGCCCAGCTTGCCCCTTCATCCCTGCTCTTGGCGCCATGCCCCGGAGCCAGCCACCCTTCCCTCCCCCACTTCTGGGGCCGTCCCAGGGTTCCTGTGCTCGGCCGCTCCTCCTGGGTGTCACTGGCAGTACTGTCCTTCCTCGAGAGACTGGGACCAAGTCCTCCTGAGGCTGGAGGAGGGGGGGTGTGTGTGTGTGTTTGTGTGCGTGTGTGTCCGGAGGGGGCGTCTGGAGACAACACCGGCCCCACGGCGGGGTGCCAGGAGCGCCAACAGTGCCCCTTGCTGGCTCTCCTCCTCCCTTTTTAATTCTCAAGTTCCTTTTTATTCCTCCCTTGCGTAACGCTCTCCTTCCCTTCTGTACCCCCACCCTCCCCACCACCTCCCCGCCACCCCACTCCTGAGGCTGCAGCCTTCGGCAGGGTCCCCAGCTCATGCCAGCCTCATTTCCTTCCTTGCTAGCCCCCAAAGGGCCCCCGGGAGACATGGGTGGCCCGGCCCGAGAGCCGGCACTCTCAGTAGCCCTCTGGTTGAGTTGGGGGGCAGCTCTGGGGGCTGTGGCTTGTGCCATGGCTCTGCTGACCCAACAAACAGAGCTGCAAAATCTAAGGAGAGAGGTGGCTCGGCTGCAGAGGGCCGGAGGGCCCTCCGAGAAGGAGGAAGGGCATCCGTGGCTGAGCCTCCGGGAGCAGGTGAGTGAGGGGAGAAGGGGGTGGGGGAGAAGAGGTTGGGTGCCAGGGCCATCTTGGGGCCTCCTGGGTCTAGCCTCGTGGTCTGTAAAGTTTTGAGTAGGTTCAGGAGAGGGTCCCAGGTTTGGAGGTCAAGGGGGCAACCATTCCAGGAAAGGAAATTGTTAAAGATTAATGCTTCTCATGCCTACCAGATCCTGGAGGACAGCCAGCACCAAGACTCAGGTCGCTGGGGAAAAGTGCATGAGTGATGTGAGGCGCTCCTGGGGCTGGGGAGTGGGGAGGCAGGGGGTGCTGGGAGGAAAAGCTGTCGGGGGACCCTTGCTTCTTAGCCTAACCCTGACCCTCTTTCCATGAGCAGAGCCCTGATGCCCTGGAAGCCTGGGAGAATGGGGAGAGGGCCCGGAGAAAGAGAGAAGCACTCACGCATAAGCAGAAGAGTGAGGCCTCCGGGGTGCGGTGCAGCAGGGGTGGGAGGTGATCAAGCAGCAGGGGGATCTGGAGATTGTTCCCCGGAGCCAGGGGGAGGGGGGGGGACAGGTGGGCTTTGCTTAGATCTCCTTCTTTCCTCAGAGAAGCACTCCGTTCTGCACCTTGTCCCCATCAACATCACCTCCAAGGGTGAGCACTACTTTAAATAATGGCTCTGGGGGAAGGGCAAGATCAGGGAACTCTGGGGCTGACACCTGGGTCCAAGAGAATCCTAGAGGTGAAAAGTCTCTGAGAATGCCCAGAAGTCCTGATGGCCATACTCCTCACCTCCAGAGGACTCCGATGTGACGGAGGTGATGTGGCAACCGGCCCTTAAGCGTGGGAGAGGTCTGGAGGCCCAAGGATATGCTGTTCGAGTCTGGGACGCTGGAGTCTATCTGCTGTATAGCCAGGTAATCCCACACATACCCTAAGCCTTGACTGGGGGCCTGAGGTCCGTTCTCCTGGGGCCTGGATGCCCTGGTACTGAGGGTTCCCAACGCCTCCGTTCGTACCGAACTTCGAAGACCCTCCTTCCTTCCTTGGCTCCGTCATCCAGGCTCCAGAGGCCTCCCAGCCCTGAGCCATGCTTTGTCACTTCCTTCGGCTTCTCCTCCATCCCCCGCCAGGTCCTGTTCCACGATGTGACTTTCACCATGGGTCAGGTGGTGTCTCGGGAGGGCCAGGGAAGGCAGGAGACTCTCTTCCGATGTGTCCGAAGCATGCCCTCCAACCCGGACTGGGCCTACAACAGCTGCTACAGCGCAGGTGAGAGGCCCGTGGGCAGCGGAGGGCAGGTGTGAGAGGAGCAGGGTGTCTGTGACCCGCCGGGGGCCGGAAGCCCCGGGGGGACAGGTGGATCTGGGGGATGCAGGCCAGGAAGCAGGAGGAAGGCTGAGCCGGAGAAGGGAGGAGAGGCACCAGAGAGTCTCCAGGACTGTGCTTCACGGAGTGTGTATTTTCTCCGTTTCTCAGGTGTCTTCCACCTACACCAAGGGGATATTCTGAGTGTCACCATCCCCCGGGGGAGGGCAAAACTCAGCCTCTCTCCGCATGGAACCTTCCTGGGGTTTGTGAAACTGTGATTGGGATGTGGATGGTGGTGTTGAGCTCGGAAGATGAGGGTGGGTACAAATCGGAGACAGCCAAGAGCGAATAGGAGCAGACGCCTCTTCTGGGTTTGACGGGAACCCTGGGTTTGACAGCTCATCAATCTCCGCTCCTCCCTTTTCCCGACCCACCCCCACCCCGTAGACTTTGATTTCATGGATATTAAAGTGGTGTAACATCTTGCTTTTGTCCCCCATCCAGCCCCAAATTCTCGGGGCGGGGGGGGGGCAAGGGAGGGGTGGACAATGCCAGGCCTTATCTGGACCTACTTCGGGTCCCACTGGAATGCTTCCAGAACAGCACCACCACCTAGCGGCAGTTTGAGAGAACCAGCCTGCGTGTCGGCACAAGTCCACGAAGCCTCCCTCCACTCGGGAAGACTCGTGGTTTCCTGTGCCACACCTCTCCCAGGTACCCGCTGCCTCCTCGCTCCACAAGAAGCCTAACCCCCACTTCTCTCCCCGGCGACGGGGCCCCAGCTTCCAGCACTGTCTCCGGGGGTGTGTTTATTATGCGGCCGTCTGCAGGGGGGGGCCCCGACGACGACGGTCCCTTTGCAGCCCCATTACTGCTCGGGTGCCAAGTTCTGCCCTTCCTGCTCTCCACTCCCCTGACGTAGCGGGTCCCTCCAAGACCCTCTGGGCTGGGACGGGGGTCCGGGGAGCCTTGGGTAAATCGTGCGCCCTGAGGCTGGCCTGCCTTCATTCCTCTGGGCTCGCTCTTTCTGCTCAAGACCTGCTTAGACTTAAATAAAAGAATGAACGACTTCCATTCCCCTCGCTGCCTTGCCTAGCCCCGAGATCTCCCTGCCCTCCCGGCTCTCCCCCGGCGCGCCCCACAGGACCCAGGTTCCGCGGCCCCGGGGTTCGGGCCCACAAGCGCTCGGAAGGGGCTACTCGGCCGGACACGCAGCGTTGGCGGCGGGGGGCGGGGGGGCGGGGGGGGAAGGACACGCAGGCGCAAACCGGAGAGAGGCGGGCCCTCGCGCGGCCCGGAGCAGCGGGAGTGCGCAGGCGCAGCCCCGCCCGGGGCTCGGGGGCGGGACGGTCCCTTGGCGTCTACGCTCTCGAGTAGGCGGGACTAGGCGCGTGCTGGCCGCGCCGGCGCTGTTCTCCGGGTGTGACGTACAAATCGCGCGCCGCCAGCGCCGGTGGGCCTGGGGCTCGCGGGAGGGGAAGGAGGAGAAGGAGGAGGAGGAGGGGGAGGTGGTGGAGGTGGAGGCTGAAGCAGAGCAAGAGGCGGCCGCGGCGGGGCGGCTCGGCGGCGCGGCGCGCGGCCCAGAAGCGTTGGAATCCTGAATTGAGAGGGCTGCGCCTGAAGACAGCAGGAGTGGCGGGGCCGCCGCCGTCGCCGGAGAGATGAGCCGGGAAGCTTGAGGCCGGAGACGCCCGCCCTCGGGCCCGTCCGCCCGGCTTCCCCGCTCCCGGTGAGGACGCCCCCTACCCTTCCCCCAGCTCTGCCGCGGCCTCTCCCAATCCTGGACCTCATTCCCACCTAACGGGGGGCCAGGAGGCCCTCGAAGGGGCTTCTTAAGGCCCTTGGGCGCCGAACTGTCCTGAGCCTGTAGGACCAAACCGGTGTGGGACTCATTCTGGCCCCCGGGAACGGAGCAGGAGAGGGGGGCTGGGCCAACCCGGCTCACGCGGCTCAGTTCTGTCCCAGCGCCTTGATCCGGCTGCCTAAGCACCGATTGGGTTCTCGTTCAGTTTCCTTTAACATTCTTCCGTTTTCATTAGGTTTTGCTCCTTGAACCATAGCCCTGGGATCCCCATTCCCTCCTGAGACCTCCTGAGCATACCCGTCCCCCTCCCCACCCCAGCCCCCCATTCATTCCAAGGTGGTAGAGAACTCTTTTTCCACTCTAGACCACGGTTTCCTCGTGGAAGTTGTGTCTTCCTCAGCTGTCTCTGTATCATGTCAGGAGTCTCGTGCTGAGCCATGCCCCTCGTTAGGTGCTCAATTAGGATACCCCTGGTGGTCTCCAGTAGAGAAGTAGAGGCTGAAAATACTGGGTTTAACCTGGGGATCTGAGAAATAAGATCCCGGAGGCGTGCTGCTCAGCCATACTCTCCCTTGCTTCTGTCTGGTCAGGGGAAGGATGATGACACAGACTCTAAAGGGCCCCTTGTGGACCATGTGAACCGAGAAGATCAGCAAACTGTAGGAGTTCTGCGTTTTTTTCCCCTCTCTCCTCAGATTATTTGCATCTGATGCCAGAGAAGGCATGCTGAGCAAGAGAGGCAAGATCGTGGGGTTCAGGGTGTTTGGATTCTGACACTCTGACCATTGTTTTACAGGCTACTGGAAGATGAAAGAGACTATACAAGGGACCGGGTCTTGGGGGCCTGAGCCTCCTGGACCTGGCATAGCCCCAGCTTACTCAAGTCCCAGGCGGGAGCGTATTCGTTGGCCCCCACCCCCCAAACCCCGACTCAAATCAGGTGGAGGGTTTGGGCCAGATCCTGGGTCAGGGACTACAGCGCCAGCCAGACGCCTCCCTGTCCCTCGGCCCTCTTTTGATGCCTCGGCTAGTGAAGAGGAGGAAGAGGAGGAGGAAGAGGAGGATGAAGATGAGGAAGAGGAAGTGGGAGCTTGGAGGCTGCCCCCGAGGTGGGGTCAGCTGGGAGCCTCCCAGCGGCCTCGCCCTCCCCGCCCTACTCATCGAAAAACCTGCTCACAGCGCCGCCGCAGAGCCATGCGAGCCTTCCGGATGCTGCTCTACTCAAAAAGCACCTCGCTGACATTCCAGTGGAAGCGTTGGGGGCGCCACCGGGGCCGGCGGCGGAGCCTTGCACACCCCAAGAACCATCTTTCACCCCAGGAAGGGGGTGCAACACCACAGGTGCCATCCCCCTGCTGTCGTTTTGACTCCCCTCGGGGGCCACCTCCGCCCCGGCTGGGTCTGCTAGGTGCTCTCATGGCTGAGGATGGGGTGAGAGGGTCTCCACCAATGTCCTCTGGGCCCCCAGTGGAGGAAGATGGATTAAGGTGGACTCCAAAGTCTCCTCTGGACCCTGACTCCGGTAAGGTGGGAATGGGTGGAGGGAGAGGGTGGGGAGGATCAGGAGCCTCTTGAGGTGGTGACAGCTGGGCCTAAAGCTAGTAGGATGGCAGAGTGAGGGGGTCCAGAATAGCCATGAAATGTCTTAAGCTCCGCTTTGAGCAGGAACTAAGTCTGGGAAGACAGTCAATCAAGGCTGGGATACAGAGTCCCTAAGTAGGTGTTGTGTTCTGTGTATAGATGAGAAAGGGAGGCTGGTTTTAAATTTTTTGTTTTTAAATTTTATTTATTTATTTCAGAGAGAGAGAATGAGAGATAGAAAGCACGAGAGGGAAGAGGGGGAGAGGGTCAGAGGGAGAAGCAGACTCCCCGCCAAGTGGGGAGCCCGATGCGGGACTCGATCCCGGGACTCCAGGATCATGACCTGAGCCGAAGGCAGTCGCTCAACCAACTGAGCCACCCAGGCGCCCAGGGAGGCTTGTTTTACAAAAGTCAAGACAGCCTTATACACTTAAAATCCCTCTTCATTTGCCCTCTTAGAATAAAGGGGCATGTACATCTGCAAAGGGTGCCATCTTCTAGTGGTGGGAAGGGATTTCTCTAGTAGTGGACTATATCACCAGTCCGGCCGCGTGTGACAGTCTCACTCAGAATGTTTCTTTTGGGGACCCTCAACCAAACAGTTTTCGGCTACGTTTTTATGAATCACTGGAGTATTTATCGAACGGTTGCGGGGTGCAATCCTAGGAGCCAGGTGTATGGTGCTGATAAATATCTCTGAAATTCAGATCTCTCTGAATCTTAGTCTCGTCCTGCTTCTGGCCTGTCTCTGAGTAGTACGTCGTCTTTTCTGTTCCTCTACGACCTCCCAGACGTGCTCATTTCATGCTTGAGGTTTCCATTCCTTAGAGTTTATGTTGGTAGTGTGTGGGTCATTTAATCTCATCCCATTGTTCTTTGATCTAAGCCCCATCCTGTTTCCCCTGTCCTACAGGTCTCCTCTCCTGTACTCTTCCCAATGGCTTTGGGGGACCCCCCGGGCCAGAAGGGGAGCGGGGTCTGGCACCCCCTGATGCCAGCATCCTCATCAGCAATGTGTGCAGCATCGGGGACCATGTGGCCCAGGAGCTGTTTCAGGGCTCCGATTTGGGCGCTGCGGAAGAGGCAGAGCGGCCCGGGGAGAAAGCTGGCCAGCACAGCCCCCTGCGGGAGGAGCATGTTACCTGCGTACAGAGTAAGGGACTCTAGAGGGCCCAGTCTCTTTCTCGTAGCCAACTCCTAAATTGAAGTCTGGAGGCCTCACCCCTTCTCCTCTTTCCCCCCGCTTAGGCATCTTGGATGAATTCCTTCAGACTTACGGCAGCCTCATCCCCCTCAGCACTGATGAGGTAGTAGAGAAACTGGAGGACATTTTTCAGCAGGAGTTCTCTACGCCTTCCAGGTAAGGCGTGAAAGAGGTGCCCTCAGAAGAGGGCTGGGGCCTGAGGGCAGGCGAGAATGCTGCTGCTTTTTCTCCCATAGGGACGTGTTGGGGAGGAGGAGGAAGGTAGGACCGAAGGGAGGAATCTGCAGGCAGAGTGCCAAGCCCCTGTAAGCTGACTGGGGTGGCGGTGGGGGTCTTCTCCTGAGACCCCAAAATACTGTGTATACCTGCTACTCGTGTGCCTCTTTCTGGAGACTGGGGCCGTTAGCAGGTCCTCAAAAGGACACGTGACCCCCCAAAAAGGATTAGCGTTTGTTTGTTGTTTGACGTAGGCTCCACGCTCAGTGTGGAGCCCAGTGCGGGGCTTGAACTGGGGACCCTGAGATCAAGATCTGAGCTGAGAGCAAGAATCGGACGCTCCACATTCTGCGTGGGGCCCTGGGTGTGACGCACAAACAGTGAATCGTGGAGCACTCCATCCGAAACTAGTGATGTACTGTATGGTGATTAACACAGCAATAAAAAATTATAAAAAAAAAAAAGAATCGGATGCTCAACCAACTGGGCCACGCAGGTGCCCCCGAAAGGATTACTTTAGATTCTTACTCCGAGCAGTAGAAAGTACTCCTGTATGCCCCAGCCCCGTCAGCTCTTGTGTGACCCCACCCTTGGTCTCCTCAGGAAGGGCCTGGTGCTGCAGCTGATCCAGTCGTACCAGCGGATGCCGGGCAATGCCATGGTGAGGGGCTTCCGAGTGGCCTACAAGCGGCATGTGCTGACCATGGATGACCTGGGCACCTTATATGGACAGAACTGGCTCAATGACCAGGTGAGGAGCAATGGAGACACGGGCCCCAAAGGGGATTTAGGGAGCAGGGTGTCTGGGACCCTCTGGGGGAGCCCTGTACCCATGCTGCACCCTCCATGGCAAGTTGCCTCCCGTCTTCTCCCCAGGTGATGAACATGTATGGAGACCTGGTCATGGACACGGTCCCTGAAAAGGTAGGCCTCACCAGGTACCTCGGTCCCGAGAAGAATGTTTGCGGTTCTAAGCAGCGTTTTCAGTCCCTTTTATCACTTTATCCATAAAGAGGATCTTTGTTTTTGGGGAGAGGTGGTAGGAGTCAGCCTGTTAAATTCAAATCTGGAATTTTTTTTAAAATTATTTTAAAGATTTTATTTGACACAGAGAGACACAGCGAGAGAGGGAACACAAGCAGGGGGAGTGGGAGAGGGAGAAGCAGGCTTCCCACTGAGTGGGGAGCCCGACGTGGGGCTCGATCCCAGGACCTTGGGATCATGACCTGAGCCGAAGGCAGACGCCCAGCGACTGAGCCACCCAGGCGC